AACAGACACACACATATATATATATACATCTACAGTTTCCGCCATCAACTAATATGTATGTTATAACATTATTTCTTCTCTACAATAAATAGTTTAAAAATTTTCTATAACCATTATATTTTTGTGACATTGTTATCAGCATCCAAAAATATAAAATAATGTTCTAAATATATTAAATCAGTATAATTATGAATTTTCTATGTTACACATTTTTATCTTTCAATTGATCCGTTCTCTCATGCCAACACATGTATTTCCACAATTATTTAAATTTAGTGAATTATGTAATTTTTTTAATTTTATATTAAAACTTAAAACGGTGAAATTTAAAATGGCCAAAAAAACTGTTTATGGGTACATATTAAACATGTAACTAATATACAATCTGATTTTATAAGTTAAAATATTTGTTATAGATATTTTATCTTTCTATTGACAACCAAAAGCATAGTTGTTGTTGTTTGCATAATTTTTGTTTTCGTTATTCAAGCCTACTCGGTCTCAAATTATGTCATTACATGTTCTGTATCTTGTCTTATATTGATAGATGTGGCTGTTTAAGGCTTAACATGTTTTTTTGTTTCCTGTATTTTTGTGTTGTGTTGAAGGTACTTTATGCAATCTAAATCTTATGAACTAGATAGTGATTTTGCTACCCTCATTGTAACCTAATCAATTTATATATAGGCCCTCCTAAATAATTAGGTCTAGGCCTGGGTCTTTTAATTCTTTGGAAGAGCTTTAAAATATACTAAGAAAATTGGATTGAGCCTAAGATAAACTAATGATTGATATTGTGGATGTTAACTTTGTAAATTAAAAGACAATAATCTTACTCAATGATAATCCAAATGTCATATAGTACTCATCATAAAGAGACATTGATTTAATAACTCTATGCTGATGTATGTTTACTCCTTGTTGAGACAATGTCTCTATGATTTGTAAGTTAGCTTAGCTCACTCTCTTGTATTAAATATGCAGAACGAGATGGACGTCTTTTTATTAGACTTGACCTACAATACTTCTTTTGACATGGCGCAGTCCAAGCTAAAATTTTAAAGTTATATGTTTAAAGTGAATCAGTATGTTATAAAGTTGAATGATGTTGCAATTTAATGTAAAATGCAAATTAACTGAAATACAAGAAGCAGAAATATAATGGCTGGAGATGAAGACGAGGAGAAGAAAGGTAAAATTGAAACTCCGATGGCCAAGCCTGCAGGATCAGGTAGTACACCTACAACTATGTCTTGTTCAATTTCAAATTCGAACATTAAAATTCCATCAGAACTAAACTGGACCGGAAATATGGCAGAAAATTGGATTTTCTTCAAACAGAAATTCAATATTTATTTGTTAGCAAGTAAAAGCAAATCAGAGCCTTCAGAATATCAAGTTGCACTTTTGTTAAGCACCATTGGTGATCGAGCACTTAAAATATATAATAACTTCACATTTACTGAGGATCAAAAGGGTGATGACATTGAAACAGTTTTATTAAAGTTTCAAGAGTATTTTGTTCCTGATAAAAACGTAACCTACGAGAGACACATTTTTTTTCTCAGGGAGCAAAGGCCTGATGAATCGGTGGACACCTATGTCACTGATTTGAGAGATTTGTCTTCCACATGCGACTTTGGCACATTAAATGATTCTCTTATTAAAGATAGGCTAGTCCTAGGTACCAAGGACAGATCAGTCAAAGATAGGCTACTTAGGATTAAAGATTTATCTTTAAGCCAAGCAATTGAAGTCTGCCGTTCTGCGGAGAGAACCAAATCTCAATTAGAAGATATTTGTTCGAACTCTGAAGGTAAGGAAGTCAACAAAATAGGCGTAGGCCTAGGTAAAAATCAACAACACAAGAAGCGAGCAGCTCAAAGTGTAGGCCTACCCAGTGCCAGTGGCAGTTCTAATAGAAATAATAATAGGCCTAGTGGTTTTTCTAGTCATCCAGTTAAAGGTCGTACTTTTAAATATAACAATCCAAGTAAAAGCTATGCAATGACTGGCAGGAAATCTCCTTGTTCAAAGTGTAATACATTCCATGAGTACTACAAATGTCCAGCTTTTGGCAAGCGGTGTTTAAATTGTAATAGACTCAATCATTTTGCTAAGGCATGTAAAGCAAGTAAAACTGTAAATATTGTCGAGCAGGAAGAAGATGAAACTAGCGCACCTAATAATTCTTTATTTATCGGTAGCGTTCATGTAGTATCTACTAAATACAAAGGTTCGGGTAAACACAAACAATGGCACGCTGATCTTCAAGTTGAAAATGGTACGGTCAACTTCAAACTAGACTCAGGTGCGGAAGTGAACATTATTTCAAGAAATGTATTTGATTCCTTAGATGTAGGCCTAGATGATTTGTTAGTGACAGACACAAAACTAACTTCCTACACAGGACAAAACTTGAAAGTAGCAGGTAAATGTTTACTTAATGTTACTTACAAAGGTTCTAAGCATGTTTTAGAATTTTTTGTTGTGAATTCAAAAGCTCCTTGTATACTAGGGCTTAATTCATGTGTTGAGCTAAATCTAATCAAAAAAGTTGATTCTTTAAAAATGATTAGGCCTACAACTCCTAAGCCTAATCTAGATACAAATGGTAAAGATCTTATTTTAAGTAAATACAAAGATTTGGTAACTGGTATTGGTTGTTTGGAAGGAGAGTATGACATTAAATTAAGAGAAAATGTTGTACCTAAGGTGCATGCACCAAGAAAAATCCCTATCACAGTTAGAAGTAAACTTAAAGATGAACTAGACAAACTTGAAAAGCTTAAAATAGTAGAAAAGGTCACAAAACCTACAGAGTGGGTAAACTCGTTAGTTGTTGTTAACAAACCAAATGGAGAGTTAAGACTGTGCATTGATCCTAAAGATCTGAACGAGGCAATTTTGCGGCCTCATTATCAAATCCCTTCATTCGAAGAAATATCGTCTAAGATGACAGGAGCAAAAGTGTTTAGTACTTTAGATACAAAAAGTGGTTTTTGGCACATTAAATTAACAGAAAGATCCTCGGACCTTTGCACATTCAACACTCCATTTGGCAGGTACAAATTTTTGCGTTTGCCATATGGGGTTTGTTCAGCCTCTGAAGTTTTTCAGCAACGCATGAAACAAATCTTTAAATCCATATAAGGTGTTGAAGTGTACATAGATGATCTCATAATATGGGGTCGTGACAAAGATGAACATGACAATAGACTCAGGTTAGTTTTGGAAAAAATGTATTCAGAAAACATTAAACTTAACCTACTGTAAGTAAATGTAAAATAGGGGTAGATGAAATCAGGTATTTAGGCCATTGTTTTTCACACAAAGGTATTTCTGTAGACGATGAAAAAGTCAAAGCGATCACTGAGATGCAGTGTCCTAGGGACAAAAAGTCATTAGAAAGATTTCTTGGTATGGTGACCTACATAAGTAAATTCATACCTAATGTGTCAGAGCTAACATCTCCTTTGAGAGCAATTTTGAAAAAAAAATGCGGAATTTCAGTGGTCTTTCGAACAGGAACAAGCGTTTGCAATGATAATCCAAATGTCATATAGTACTCATCATAAAGAGACATTGATTTAATAACTCTATGCTGATGTATGTTTACTCCTTGTTGAGACGATGTCTCTATGATTTGTAAGTTAGCTTAGCTCACTCTCTTGTATTAAATATGTAGAACGAGATGGACGTCTTTTTATTAGACTTGACCTACAATACTTCTTTTGACACCAAATTTTGGTTTCGGAAAAAAATTTTATCTTAACTGTGATTTTTCTTGACACAATCCTTGTAGTAGTAAAAGGTTTTGTTTTAATATTGTGTGGTACAGTAATTGTTGTTAGAAAACCATGAATGTAGGATACTATCCATTTTCATAGTTATGTCAATGTATAAAAGTTAAAAATAATGGTTTAAATACAGTTCTGAGCAGAAAACCGCAAAAATACGGGTAGCCGCGTACCGTACCGATTTTGTACCGAGAACCGAGGTACAAAATATTGATCCCTCCCGAACTGTACCGACCTTAAATTTTCTGTACCGCAGACCCCTAATGATGATTAAAGATAAATGCATCTTTTACAAAATCGCTTTAAAAACATTTATTCACATAGCGAGATGGCATTAAAATGTCAGGAATGTGGTGCGCTACATTTTAAAGAAGAACAAAGAGGATAAGGCGAAGGATTTTCTTCCTGCTGCCATAAAGGAAAAGTGAATCTACCACCATACCGAGAAAGCTGTTATATCCAGAGCCTACTTAATGGAGCAAATCATTTGAGCAGAAACTACAAAGAGAACATTAGATCGTACAACTCTTCGCTCGCAATGGTCAGCACTCGAGCTAAAATTGAAGGACATAATGGTGGAGGGCCTTTGTATAAGGTAGGACAATAATGGCATATTTGAGAAGCAGAGGAATTGCATTCTGTTGCGTTCAAAGGAATAGCTGCCAGGGCTGCCAGTTTGGTAAATGGTGAAAGAACACTTCATAACACATTCAAACTTCCATTGAATGCAACTTCAGTCTCACAGATAAAGCCTAATAGTATTCATGCTCAGTATTTGAATACTGTTAAACTAATTATTCTTGATGAAGCCAGTATGATGCCAGCACCAGCCCTTACAATAATTGACAGACTATTGAGAGACATCGCTGTAGATGAATTAGACCGATTAAAACCATTTGGAGGGAAGACATATAAGATCAGTAAAGAATAATCATGAGTAGACAATTGCTTTCTTTTTATGAATGAAGAAGAGTTTTAATTAAAATCAGTGAAGAATTACATACTACACAACAACAGTCATCTTTAAACATTATCTTTCAACTGAATGGATCTTAAGTTTTAGGATCTAAAGGTATTTCTCACAATTTTACCTCTTAATACCATATTTAACACTAGTGATGTGTCCATACGTTACTGACGTGTCTGATAATGTTAAAAAATAAAAATGTTTGATGAAGGATGAAGCTGAAGAGCACTTACAAGGGCAAGTTGTCGCTACGAGAGACGTAGTCTTGCTCCAGGAACCGTTGGCCTACCACAGAGCCCATTGCCTCCTGCTCCAGCTCAGGATGTGGGTGGGGGGGAGGAGCTGGTATGTTGCGAGGAGTTTCTAAACTCTCCAGACACTCTGGGCTAGTCTCTCCGATGTACTGCAGCAACTAAACAACCGCAAAAACATCAACTAGCTAAACATTGTTAACTAGATGGTTTGTAACTAGATTTTATAGAACTGCTGCCAAAAAAATAAGATTACTTGCAAGGGGTCAGACTTGCTAGGTATGTTGAATTACAAGGTGTCAGGTTATTGAGGGACAACCATAAATTGGACATATCAATAGGGTTCAAAACTTGTTTGTAAGGCGAAACAAAAAACAATACCCTTTTGTATTTCAAAGATGGTGACAGTTTTTAGGCAAACAAAACTACTAATTTACAATAATAAAATTTCTTGACAGTAGATCTATACCATAAAGAGTGTTTTGGGTATCTCAATCAGGTTATAATCACAAATAAAAGTAGCCAGTTCGCTGCGAGAATCCCATTGGTGGGGCGGTCAGAAATGCAGCCTCTGTGCGCCAGTGAATCAGCAAACGCAATAGGCATTAAAATATTTCAGTCTTAACAGCGGAGCTGATGGTGCCCGATAGTGGACGTAGTTCACTTAAAAACTCACAGATAGCAGCACTGCCTGGATCCGTAGCCATTGTCTTTGTAATGTGGCTCAAAGAGAGAAAAATCCCTAAAATCGCGACAAAAAGCGTTGCCAAACGGGATTTTCTGTGAATTTTTTTTACCAAACCAAACTTAACCTACACCAAATTAAAGTATAGGACCAGCAAATCATGCTGACATAGTTTAGTTGATTCCCGATAAATGCGAGGTCACAGTAGACCAACTTGTATTATACTACACCGTGACTCCGACCAGAGTCATACAGTACGGCATGACTTCGATCGTAGTCGTCAGTAGTGAATGTGTTAAACATTAACTTGTAGAGTCAGCTTTAAAATTAAAATCACATTTAAATCTGTTATTTATTAAGTCAATCAGCATCATAGAATCTTTCAAAACTAGGTGAAACCCGTCGACATCGACGGTTACTTTCAAGGCTTACGTTAATTCATCTAACTGCGATAAATTGGGTGACATATACATATTTTGAGCATTGTTTAAAGAGTAATAAGTGTAAAAACGATAATTGTATTAATTGCGTTAGTTGCCAAATTTGGTTGATCATTCAATGATTAAAATATTTTCTATACTGTACGTCATCGGAGTTATTATTAGTATGTTATATGGTATCTCTTCCTTTGGAAGAACCTTTAAATAGTATTAAAATCGTATTGGTGGATCTTTTGTAGTTAAACACTTCCGTGATTTCATCAGTGTAATATGATTTTATTTGAAAAGGAAATATTTTTTGGGAAGACATATTCTAACTTCAAAGGGAGTTATATCTGTTACAGTGTAATTTTGATTTTTCCTTCGTCACGTCGTGTCAGTTCATATCGTACTTCTGTGCCAATGAATGAACCCTCTAGCATAGTTTTTGAGAAATTGATTGTGGGGTTACTGTTGAAGGTGGAATTCCTTGACATGGGGGATGTCAGTTAGTTGTCTCAGCCTTATCAATAACATAAAGTTGTCAATATAATCTCTCTACGGAATGTTAGGTGTAGTGGAATACTTGAAGTGAAGTTGGCTTTTATTCTTGAACTGTTAGGGGCCTCCTAGTTCATATGGTCTTGGCGGCTTCATTGGCAACAAATAATGCAAATGACATAGCAATGGGACATTTCCAAAAAGCAAAAATACTGTAAATTGGCTGTTACGTATATATTGACGTTTACATATTGTTAATCACCGTATCTTATAAAGGATTATGTGATCTAGTTTAAAAGGAATATGGCCTTTCTGTCATGATAGTAGCTGCTTAAATAGTATTTTCTCTTTTGTATCATATTTTACAGCCAAAATTTTGTGTTATTTTTAATAACGTTACCAACCTGACCACAAAACCCCGCCAAAGTCCGTAATATAGGCAGGTGCAAATAATTTGTCAAGATGGGTACCATTTTAGGCAAGGTTTCTATGTTTGGATTTTATCAGACACGATAAGAGCAGATATTTCTACATAAATATTTGATATGTGTAGAATAATATGATAAAATGTAGGCAAAAGTGGTGAAAGAGGCAGACACCAACCCGTACAATAGATATAAGATAGTTCAATAAGAAATGATTTAAGAATTGCTTTGATAAAAGGATTTTCCACTGATTTCATAATGGAACGTTTGAGATATTGCAAAACATGACATGATTAAGAAGAAAATCTATTTTAAAATAAGAAAATAACATTGCAAATACTTATTTGGTAGAATTCAGTAACTCCCAATAAGTGTGTTTGAAATACAATTTAAAAATGAACAGCTGTTTCATTAAAAAGTATTATTCACATGGCCAAAATGTAAACAGCTCTGTGGAGGGATCTTTAAAGGCTTCTGGGGCAGAGTCCTAAGGGATTTTGCTTAGTTTTTCTTTTGATAACTCATCTACAGACCAAGACCTTTCTTTGGACACATCTACCAAGTTTCTACGCCCAGCCGTTCTCTCAAATTAGTGGGGACAAAGTTTCCAGTTAAATATTTAGATTCCCCCATGTTAACCTTATGGGAGAAACTCCCAACTTTGATGGCCTGTGGGACAAAGCCCGAGGATTTTTATTACAGGAATTATTGAAAGGGGGCGTCTACACAATAAATACTTTATTTTGACACGTCGTTTGTAAAAATCGGTCCATTATTAACGGAGGAGTAGTGTTTTGTAGAAATCGGCTTCACGTATTATATATATACACAAGGATCTAAGTCTAAAAATTAATCAAACACTAGGGGGACGAAGCCCTATAGGGAATTACCTATTTAGTTACAATTTGTCACTCTGCTGCATCATAAGTATTCAAGTATTCAAGTAAACTCATTATTGAATTAACCCTAGCAGTGGCCAATGTTAGAAGTGGGGAATGGCCAACCCATTTTGGCGATTTTGCAGTCCTTTTTTTTGAAAATTCGTAAAAATTCAACCGTACAAGTTAACCTAGCCAACCTCATATTCATTTTGTTCGGAAAGAAATACTTTCTTAAGTTTGGTCGAAAGAAATAGTAATATCATAATTATTTAGACAGTGTATTTTATCGGTAAAGTGAAAAAAATAAAAAAACTTGAATTTTTTTTTTATTTCAAAAGCGGCCTTGGTATTTTTTTTCTATGGATTTTTTTATGGGAAATTCATTATATACATTTTGTAGACAATCTCATTCCCTACATAGAAATATATAACATGTTAGGAAAATATTTTTTTTTATAAGTTTTTGGGGCGAAATATAATGACAAATGGAGAACCGAAAAAATTGAAAACCGTACAGTGTTAGTTTATGTTGTAAAAAGTTCTATCATATATGTGTATAGTAATAATGATATATACATGTTTGTAAAGCTAATGAAGTAAGGAATCAAAAAAAGTCATAAACTTTATGGTAAAAATAATTTTTTACCTATAAACATACGTATATAAAATAATGTTTTTATATTTTAGCGATTTCTCGAGAAAAAAAATTCACAGTATTTAGTATACAACTTTTGTACCAAATTTGTTTACTTCAAACCAACATAATAATCTTGTAGTGTATTCAATTACCTACATAAAAATGTATAACATGTTAGAAATATTTTTTTTGTAGGTAGGTACGTAATAGGGACATAATAATACAATAACCGCAAAACCGCAAATAAGTGTAAACTATAGCCTACAGTGTTTGTTTGTGTTGTGAAACATTATGTAGGCTGATGATATGTAGCCTACATATTTGTAAAGCTAATGAAGTAAGGAATCCAAAAAAGTCATAAGTATGATGGTAAAATAGTATATTTCGTACCTAGGGCCGAAAATGAGGTTTTGCCGGCTCGAGATAGTTTTTAAGTTCGAGACGAAGTCGAGAACTTAAATCGATCGAGAGCTGCAAAACCATTTCGGTCCGTGGTACGAACGCTATTTTTCACCACACTATACCCTATTACCACTATTCACCAGTATAATAATGCACACTGATAGTCAACACAACTACGACTTTAAGGTTATGTGAAGAAAGTTTGAGGAATCAGCAAAAATAAAAATAAATAGTTGCTAGGCAACGGTGACAATAACACAATTCTATTGCAATGCTATGGATTTTGATTTTCATGTTTTAAGTAAGTAAGCGGACAGCTGATTTTGCGGCCCCGGGCTGTAAAAACCTGCTCGGTCCCCAAATTACGATGACAGCTGGCATGGCCAGCAAAACGTAACTTTCAGCCACCAATTAACGTATGTAATACAGCCAAAAACATCATAGTGTGGTGAAAAGTTATTTTCACCTATGATTATGTATCAATTTGAGAACGTTTTGAATTTTTTGTGCATTTCGAGAAAATGGAGTGTACAGTATTTAGTAGCCTATATAATTTTTTTACCAAATTTTTTACACCCAAACCAATATAAACATGTTGTAGTGTATTCATTTGCCTTTATAAAAATGTATAACACCATGGGTAAATCATTATATAGCATATATAGCACCTCTGAATGTCAGAATCGTCATTTTTGGACATGATGCTAACAAAATACAGTATTTAGTATAGGCTATAACTTTTTTACAAAATTGTTTACCCCCAAACCATTATAAACATGTTGTAGTGTATTCATTTACCTTTATAAAAATGTATAACACCTTGGGTATATCATTATATAGCATGGCGAACTAAGGTCCGTCTCGTACAACAATCTCTGAATGTCAGAATCATCGTCATTTTAGGACATGATGCTAACAAAATACAACCTTTTATGAACACTATTTCACACAATTCAGTAATATTTATGCATGAAGATTACTGTTATACACACACACAAACTTCGGTACTTTCCTGTTAAAGGGAACATTCATTATTATCGATAATTTTTTTCGATATATCGATATTAACAAATTTAAACATATCAGCTGACAACTACGATAAATATTGTTCAGTATATGAAACCGTTCTAAAAAAATAACCTAACATAACTAACCAAACTTGCTGTAACATTTAAAAATTCCGTGTTTAACTTGCCGTTTCTATTATCAAATCCAAACGGAAGTTTTAAATGGTACAGCAAGTTTGGTTGGTTAGCTTAGAACAGTTTCATTTCTTAATCCATATAGACTATTTTAGCCTAAACAAGATCAGTTAGTTGTTGTTGTCAATAATCCTTCCTTGTTCTAATCCTTTTTTTGTTATCAAGTTTCATTTATGAAATATTGCAACTTTTTTGTTAAAAATGTCAATATTTCAAAATCAAAACATGATAACAAAAAACGGATTGCGGCATTGAGTTTAGCTTAAAAAAGTAGTTCGAAATGATGGGTCACAACACCCCCTTCATATTTAAAATAATTGATCACATTTCAAAATGGCGGATCCAAGATGGCGGCCGAAAAAATAAATCCGTCATAACCAAGTGAAAATAAGTCGACAATGAATGGTAGTGTATACTTATCTTTATCTAGCACTATTTTGAGATTATGGTCTTAGTTTGTACATGCACAATGTTAAAATGGGCTAAAAATAAAGTTTTAAAAAGGCCTCATAACTTTGGAATGGATCAATATTTTTAAAAACGGTCTATGGCATTGCAATTAGGGTAAAAATCTAGTTCGAAATAATGGGTCACAACCCCACCTTTACATCTGAAAAAAATATTTTGCATCCAATATGGCGGATCCAAGATGGCGGCCGGAAATGACCACCTTGTCAAAATGAAGTACTTACTACCCAACAATGTTTGGAAGTGGTCTGGGATTGATATTTGAAAAAATGTAGAAAAAAGTTGGGGGGGGGACAATTAAAACTCACCCTGTATATTATTCTCATCTGAGTTGATTATACGTGTTTTTTTACCGCTAAAAGAATTTCGGCCCACATCGTCACCTGACGACTTTGGCCATTCTAAGCATCAACGTCAGATCGTCACCAGACGACGATCGGCCACTGCTAGGGTTAAGTATATGATAGACTGACACGTTAGATAGATTTGGTTTCACTTTCATATAGTATGATACATGATAAAATATTACAATGTACAATAAATATATTACATCATCCAGGTTGTCCAAATCATCAGCAGAGTTCTCATAAGTAGGCAGCACACTGGGCAGTCTGTGTCTCAAAGTGTGTTGAGGCACAGATGGAGCCATTACACAAGAGTTCAACATGGTCTCTTCTAGTGTCCTCTCCTGGCTCCATGTCTCCAACACCAGGTCTTCACCTGCCATCAGACAAATCAAACAACCTTAATCAAATTCAAAAGTCACTTTGGGAAACCTGAACCTCATCTCCGTGTCTCAAGTCATCTGTCAGCTCAACACAAAAAACCGGGTGCTACAGTGTTGGGGAAGCTACTTTTAAAATGTAGCTAGCTACAACTACTGCTACATTAAAAAAAAGTAGCTTAGCTACAGCTACAGTAAAAGAAAAAGTAGCTAGCTACAAGTACAGCTACAATGAAACAAGGGTGGTTCCAGGGCTAATTTTAGGTGGGGGCCATTCTATCGGTGGTGTTGGGGTATTCTAATTCTAGGCCAGCATGGCCACGACTACTGGGGGGTTTGGAATACCCCCCATTGCGGGAGGGGGGTCCAGGGGAAATTTGTGAAAAATTATTCTTGCAAAGTCGACATTTTAAGCAATCTGACAAAGAAAAAGTTTAATCTCTTGTAATCTGAAAAAGAGAGTTTGAGTGCAAAACTTTTTTCAGTGATAAAACTTTTTCTGCTCTTACCGGCCCTGTAATTTCACCCATCTATTTTTAAATGTTTTGTTTCATAATGTCGACGCGCATTGTATTCCTTCAACAATGATTGTTTCCTAAATAAACTATATTATTGGAATGGATAATAATGAAATTAAAAAATGTAATACTTTAACAGGTTTGCTGCAGCCCACCAATAGCAGGTCTAGAGTCGAGTGAACCTGTTTGGCTTTCAAATATTTCGGTCTGATGAATAGCAAAAGACGTGCGGTGATGTCATGCGTTACAACGAGAGTCGACGTAGTTTGCTAAAGCACTCACAGATAGCAGCACTGTCCGAAACTAGATGGTTCCATTGTATTGCCAATTGCAGGGAGAAAGCCGGGACAACAAGTTGATTTCTAAGCTTGCCAGAAGGGTATTTTATGGGGAAATTTACCACCAACCTACACCAAAATAAAGCACCCATTCCTAGCTAAACGCAGACATAAAAATACCCGTTCTTCCCGGTGTGCTGCTGCGTAGAAATTGAATGGAATGTATGCGATGCCGGCACTCACCGGTGAGCGTTCAGCCTGGCAGGAAGGAACTAGAGCATTCACCTGTAAGTGGTCCGCAGTGAACGTGTTAAAATGGAAAGAATACTGTAGTTAGTTTTAATTTCAAACTGCTTCTTTGTTGAATCCATACACAACTGCTCATGGCCATTTTTCAGTGGGAACGTTACAGAGAAGGGAATGAAGTAAACAAACATATGAGTCATCGGCAGAAATGAGCCCAGGAGATCACAACAGGAGCGGAAGTTGGACAGAATAATGGGTTGGTATTTCCTGTCAAAACACGACGCAGTAAAATACAGTGTCAATCTTTTGAATCATAACAAATTTCATAGAACTTTGATTAATAGAGGGTTTCTTGCTACTACTTCGTCTAGTAGAGCTGTGACAGTTGCACAATTTCGAGAGTTAAGAGTTGAAATTATAGAGGATTTTGGACTAAAACTTCAGATTTATAGAGGTACTTTTAGGGACGGAAAATTCCATAAAACTTTGATTTATCAAGGTGTTCCTCATGAACTATTCGAATTTTAGAGGTAAAATAAACATTGCAAACGGTAGGGAAGTACAAAGGGAATAAACAAAATTCGATTTATAAAGGATTTTGAACTATTGAGGTTGATTTATTGAGATTCCACTGTACTTTCTTTTATAGACAAACCACTCAAAAGTGTATATCTATCATCCCTTAAACTAAATTTAAACTCATTTTAGCGAATTTTCCATATAGGGAATATAAGCTATTACCGTAGTACTCATGGTAAGACCTGGACCCAGGACCGATTTAATTTTTCATTTTGAGGTCCCTCAAGGCCAAAAACACCATCCGTTCAAATTCATATATATGTGTCCGTTAGCGCGATAACTTGAACAAAAATGATCCGATTTTGATTAAATTTGGTACAAACGTGAACACCTACATTTATTCAAACGAGTTGGCGATCCAGCATAATCGGACCATGGGAACGGGGGTTTATGGGGGGTTTTATGGGGTAAAAATGATGGGGTTTTCCCATTTTTACCCTAAAAACAAAAAAATTTGCAATTTCTTTTTAAACCGTTTTGTAGAGCTTAAACAAAATAAATCATTTTGTATAATGAGCGCTGTTGTATGCCTAACGGTCACGGAGAAAATTAAAAAATAGTGTAATTTAAAATTCCCATGTTATTCTTATGGAGAAAATGAAAATTGTTGTAGTTTACTTGTTTATGGATATATATTGATAAAATTTGGCAAATTTATTTATTTCATTATATAGTATTGACATATGGTCAAAAAACTTTTTAACCTCCCCGTAGCAGCAAACCTAAGCACACGTTAAATCTAATGTTATTTAAATAGGGAATAAATATGTCTTATTTATGGAAATATTTGAGTAAAAATGTAATCAGACAAGTTGAAATTCGCTTAGTCTGCAGGTTTGCTGCGGCGGGGGTATTTAATTATTTTTTATTATTATTACCATAGACAAAAAGAATGAAATATAGACTGTCAGCCGTGCTGCGGTTACCATGGTTACCATAAGTTCCGGCGCACACCGCTGTAGTTTACGTAGCGTGTACGCTGTAACTACAGTGGCGATCCCAGCGGTGTGCGCCAGAACCTATGGTAACCACAGCACAGCTGACGGTCTATATTTAATTCTTTTTTTCTATGTTATTACCAAGATGCAGTCAATAGCAAAATAGGCAGCTGAGCCTATTTAAACCCAAATAGATCCTGAATATTATCAGGGCCGAACCGACTACCTTCTTAGTACTCAAGTGGCAAAAATAATGGTAAAGGAGTCTGCAGTGAGATCTTCCAATCAGCTTCCATGTGGAAGTGACGGAGCCGAGCCAGTTGTGGAGCACAGCCATGCAGAGTCTAGAGACGACCTACCTCAACCCATCCCAGCAGTGTGTAGTGCTAGTGATGAGTGCCTATCTGTGTCCTCCGACGAGTTAAGTGTTTGTGATCAATTAGAGGGAAATTTTAATTGTACAACTGAAATGATTGATATTTCATCACAGAGTACCACAAATTTTGACAGTGTAATTGACAAAGCAATTCCGCATTTAAACTAATCAATAATGACAAGAAACATAATTTCGCAACAAATGATCCATCTTTTGGTTTTAATGATTCTAATAAAACTTCAGGAAAATCTTTGGACTCTGAAAATATCAATAATCACAGTAATAATAATAACAACAACAATGAAAACAGCATTTCACAACATAATTCACCAACACATAAAATCGGTAACAAGCGGGATGAATCAGCAAATTTTAGAAACAAATTAATCATACTACACCAAAATATTGAACATCTAGAATCTTGGAACATTGGCTTAGAAGTAATCATTGATGAAATTAAACCACACACTTGTAATTACTGAACACAATATGAAAGATTATGCAATTCAAAAGATTAATATTGATGACTTCACTGTAAAAAATTATTTTTGTCGAAGTAAGTTTTCTAAAGGAGGAGTAGCAATATTTGCTAAAAATAATGTAACAGTAAAGAAAATATCACCTAAAATAATAGAGAGACTTTGTCAGGAGAAGGTTTTTGAATGCTGTGCTGTGAAGTGCTGTACTAATGGGTATGAGTTCGTATTGATAGGTGTTACGAATGGAACTGACAAAAAAACAATGAGTACTCAGTGAAAGTAGTGACAATAATTTATTTGAACCATTTTACTAACATCTTCTTTATAAGCCAACATAAAACTCAACTCTTTTGTTTACAATCTCTCCTTTAAATTAATAACATGTGTTTTAATTATTAGTAAGCATACAATATTAACATTGACAACAGCTGGCAATTACCAGTAAGTTCAACCATTGACTATAGGTTAAACCAACACAGCATATATAACAATAGGTGTGTATCGATCTCCAAGTGCCGATGTTAATTTATTTCTGGATAATCTTAGTTTTGTAGTTAATAGCGTTTCAAATTTTTGTAAAAATATTATAGTAGCAGGAGACATAAATATTAATGTAATGGTAAAAGATAACAAGTTTAAAGAACTACCGAGCATGTTAAAAAGTCACAATATGCGATATTTAATAAATTTTCCCCTCAAGGGTAGTAAACGACTGTCAATCGGCAATAGATAATTTTTTAACAAATGTCACAAATGTAAAGTTATATGTTTATGGTCTAATTACTTTCTTATCAGACCATGATGGACAAGTATTAGAGCTTGACATTGCTGGTAGTAAATTAAAACCAAAGGATAAAGTCAAAACTAAATCTTGCCGAAATTACAGTTTAGAGGACATCGAGATGTTTAAATTTAAGTTGCAGAGTGAAAACTGGATGGATGTTTATATGCTACAGAATGCAAATATTCCATATTTAACAATTTATTTTATCAATATTTTATTGAGTGTTTTCCAGTAATAAATTTAAAAACTGGTAGTAATAAGAAAAAATGGATGAATTATGATTTAAAGCTAAAGAGGGATGTTATTGTTAATTTAAGTAAGAAAGCTAGATTATTAAAACAATCCATATTTAACGATCTTAATATCTTAAAGAAAAACTACAAATCAGATCTCTTAAATGCAAAAAAAGAGTATTACAACAACAAAATCAAGCAATCATCAACACGGGAACGGGGGTTTATGGGGGGTTTTATGGGGTAAAAATGGGGTTTTCCCATTTTTGACCCTAAAAACAAAAAATTTTGCAATTTCTTTCTAAACTGTTTTGTAGAGCTTAAAAAAAGAAATAATTTAGTATATTGAAGCGCTGTTGTATGCCTAACGGTCACGGAGAAAATTCAAAAATAGTGTAATTTAAAATTCCCATGTTATTCTTATGGAGAAAATGAAAATTGTTGTAGTTTACTTCTTTATGGATATACCCTATATATTGATAAAATTTACAAATTTATTTATTTCATCCTATACTATTGACGTATGGTCAAAAAACACTTTTTACCTTCCCCGTAGCAGCAAACCTAAGCACACGTTAAATCTAATGTTATTTAAATAGGGAATATGTCTTATTTATGGTAATATTTTAGTAAAAATGTAATCAGACAAGTTGAAATTCGCTTAGTCTGCAGGTTTGCTGCGGTGGGGGTATTTATTATTCTGATAGCTTGAATTGTTGGTTAGGTTTGAGGGAGGAACGAATTATATTTGTCATGTAAAGATTATAACGGAATTTTTCATAAACTAACCATCACAAAAAAATGAACTTTATTCAAACCAATTAACCTAAGCAAAAGTAAACTAAATCGCTTTGGTTTTTAGTTAAACAACAATGAAAGAGAGTCAAATAGTTTCAAATAGTTTACCAGATAGTTTCAACTGTTCGGGAGTGCAGTAGAGGATGGAGGCGTCCCAGGAGGCCTTGCCCGCAAGGTCTCTCAGGATGACTCTGACCTGGGAAGTGGCAGTGACCAGTCCTGCTGTCACTCCTCCTCCTGGCACCTCCAGAGTGGGAAGTTGTACCAGAGACATCAACAGGTTGGTGCTCAACACAAACAGCTGCAACACACAAATCATTACCGATTGTTCATCTAGAGCCTCATTAATCTAAACAAGGAGTTTTAAGGACGAAATCTCAAGTCATATCAGGGCGAGAGTAGGTTTCTAGAATGTGTAGTTTCACACCGACAGCTTTTCTGGTTTTGCATACGCAAGTCAATAAATTAAGTTTTAGAAGCATTACTAATTATTTGGTGCATTTGTAATTTGTAAAGCACTTGCAATGCATGCTGCAGCAATGCATTTGTAAAGGCTATACAGTCCTTGACCATTGTTCTAATGATCCATGTAAAAGTTTGTAAAACTGCACGATGTTAACTGCAGGATTTTGACAATAATGCACTTTTTGACTGATTTTTGTTAAATAAATTAAATAATTCGTAATTGCATACCGGTACTCTAATGGCTAAAATATTGTTGTCTTCTACTTACCAACTGAAGTGTTTCATTGTTCCTAAAAAGTTATCAGGAGTTGTCTAGAGGGCTGTTTTAGACCAATTTTGAAACATCACTTTCGGTTTGGGGGACAGCAGCTGTTTCAGAACCTTTTCCCTGAAGTTGTACTAGGTTGTTCATGTTATTCAGGTAATAACTTGCACATTTAACATTATCACCTACTTGAAGTGGACAAATATTTTCTTGTGGCATCTCAGCATCTTCCATTCTCAGGGACAATATGACATCATCTGGTTAAAACTATCAACTCCCTTCATTTTATATAACTTACATTATAGTGCATCAGAGGCTTGAACCTGATCTTCACCTACTGTCGTATATTTTGGTTAGTGACCATCTCGTTGTCGACTAGGTCAGATGTAGGTTACTGTTCTTTTATCCTTCCACTTTTCTATCATAACATTAGCCACAGTCACCCCTAGATATAACTGAGCTGACTTTACAGCTTTTGAAGTATGTTTTCAGTCCTTGCGCAGTGTACCAGTGGTAAGTGTCAACGTACGTAAAAGCTTGCAGGACAAATTGTAGCTGATATAGATATTGTCCATAAATAGGAATAGCCTTTTTCCAAAAAGTCTTAGATAATTGCAGCTATATTTTAATCGTATGGCCTTTGCCTTAATATAGATTGGTTTTCCCTGTGTAGACGAGGAAACAGAATTGCAGGCCCTCCATTGAGCGAGTAGATTTTGATTCCGTATTCGTGCATCCCTTTTATGTGTTTATGAATCATTCGATAGGTCAGGCTCATCATATCATTGTTAAGTTTAATTGAAACATGCATGGATGATATTCATGTACACTAGAGCAGGGGTCTCCAACTTTTTTGTGGAGGGAAGGATGAAATAGTCATATTTTGGTACAGAAAATTTACCCTACCCCCCTCAAACCCACCAAGTCGTTAAAAATTTTTTAACAAATGGTTTTTGAGATTTTTATACTTTATTTTTATTTGATATTTTACCTTATACATGTATATATTTTGTTGGCTGACTAAAATTTCAGATATACCTAATAACTTTAACTTTATACTTTTTTATGAAATGGCGACCATACATAGTAGGTATTTTAAGCCAAGTATGAATGGATATGAGTGTAGGATGAGTGCCGCGATCTTGTAGTCTTGTTAGTGACTAAGGCCGACATTCCTTAGACACAGCTGTTAATTAATAGCCCATACAGCTAATGGCAACTAAGGGACCTACAGTTTATAGTGGAATCCGAACCACATTTTTTTGCCTTGGTATATACGAATTGGTCTAATAAGGATAGCACTGCGGGTAGTCTTAGTACTCACTCGTGCGGACGTTAATCCACACCAGGGAGTATCGCATCCACAGTGCATGCCTATAAATATCCACAATTCGTGACCTCCTAGTAGCTGGATTACACCCGTCCCAGTCAACAAACACTATAATAACAAACACAGTGTTACTGAAAATGAGTTTTTCTTGGCTATTTCTTTACTTGACTATCTATATTCTGTACATATTTTGTTTTATAACATATGGTTTAATTGATTGTTATTTGGAATGTTTTATCCATGATTCACGATTGCAAATAAAATAGCCAAGTCAAATCTACCTGGAGTTATTAATCTGACTTATTAATAATTCCCTACACACAGTATGTCATAAATCCTTTCTACTATAAAATTTACTTTATTGGACTTTTAATTATTGTATTGGCGATACTGAAACCTCACAATACAGGAGTTGACAACAGGTGTAAAGCATAAAAAGAATAATATTTTTTTGTGGGAATATTGAATTTGCTACTTAAAATGTCAGCTATTTAGTGAATTTCCCATATAGGGAATAAGCTATTACCGTAGGACTCATGGTAAGACCTGGACCCGGGACCGATTTTTTTTTTCGTTTTGAGGTCCCTAGAGGCCAAAAACACCATCCGTTCAAATTCATATATATAGTAGTACATATATAGGTAGTATATATATTTATAAATATATATATACAGGGTGAGTTTCTACTGACCGTGTTAACTTCGCCAGTAGGTTCTACTCACTAAAAGGAACAAAAAAGTTAGTATAAACCCCTGTCCGAATTTCAACAGTTTGGCTGTAATAGGGGATTTTGTGTTTTTCTTATTTTATTAGACTTTGCTCCACAATTTATGTAATAAAAACTTAACTAATTACTTTAGAGAGTTATATAGTTGAAATCATTGGAAAGAATATTAAATTTGCTATAAATCAAAGGTTTAGTTCAACAATTATACCATTACATAGTCCACGTTATATCCAAAATAAAGTAAAAATTGCATTAAACTAATTAATTAGGATAATTTTCATGAGCCCACTTTGATACATAAACCTGCACAGGGCCGGATTTAGCATTTTTGCGCCCCTAGGCCCAAATAATTTTCCGCCCCCTAGTCTGGTCACAGTTACTTTCCTTCAAACCTTTATTAAAAACTATATCATGCCCATTGACCTAAGTTAATTGCTTGAATACCACTCCACGTTGGAATCATTGCAAGTTTTTTTTAAGAATTGACTTGTTTATAGAGTTAACAAAATGCCGTCTTAAACACTTTTAGCAATTTTATGCTTTTAATAAATGCTCACGTTTGTGGCCGTGGGACTGAAACAAAACAACTGAACCCACCGAGCATTCCTGAGAAAAAAAAACATGGCCATTGATTCCAATTCCAGGCCAAAAAACATGAACTCCATACAGTACGTGATACCATAGATTAAACATATTCCTTTAGTAGATTTGTCATCATTTCGGATTAGCTGAAAACAATTCTTGTTATTTAATAGGAGTATGTTTTATCTATGATAGTACCTAGTATGTTTGATCTATGTTTAAACCTAGTTTATCCAAAATAAAACGATCTAATCATCAACAATAGGTCGTCTCCTGGTTATATTACAAGAAATTGAAACACACATCATAGAACTAACCCTAAAATAATGGAAACAAAATTACGTCAAAACTAACGTCCAGTGTCACCAACATGAACTAGACATGAAAAAATTTTGAATTAACAATGTCATAAGAAGTCGACTTGAGTTATATTTAATCTATGGTCGTACTGCATCTAGGTTATATATTTCCAAAGCAAAACAGAGAAATATTCTGGCCAACCGTCGATCCTTAGGTCTGAGGAGAAAATGACAGCATTATTGGTGCTTTGGAGGGTATTGAATTTTTCTAAAACCTATTGCACACTGAGATTAATATTTTTTGGTTAATTTTAAAGGTAAATTCATCGTTGTTTTAATATTCAACACAACTTATTAACTTGATCCTGCAGATTGTTGTAAACTAATCAAAAGTCAAAAGATTAGTTAATAACTTTTGTTTTGTGAGGTGAGGGTAGTAACAATGTCTAGCACGCATGCGCCCCTAATCACTCTGATCAGTAGTGCCGAGCCCAAACCAGCATAGTGGCAGTGCAGTGGCAATACGATGCGTACCCCTTGGGCGCTCGTCAACGTCAACATTCCTACAGCCTACTCCCGTATAACCAATGTTCGTTACAAATTTTGTAACGAAATTGATGCGTAATTCTGAAAAATAGTTTAGATTTCCTAACAATTATTTCTTCTTATGAACTTCAGAATCACAATGCTGTGTAGTTTTTTTTTTATCAACTGTGACTATTTATTTTTTTATTTTTAGATAGCCTAGGTATAAAAAAAATACTCTCGGCCGTGCGCCCTCTGGGACCTTGCGCCCATAGGCCCGGGCCTGCCGGGCCTATTGGGAAATCCGGCCCTGAACCTGCATCTATGCAATGTTGAAATGCATAAAAAACTTGGCCATTTAATAATCTTTCGAATAATATGCTATTCAATACTATTATTGATATAAACCAGTGAGAAATCAGCAATAAACTACAACAAAACAAGGTTTACAGATTTTGTTTTTGCATAGATTTTACTGTTAATAATAATTACTGAATACTCCATGTTGTATTATATTGAACAATCTGATAAAATTTGTACATTATTTTTGTAAAAAAATAAAGCACGAAATTGTGTGGCCATTCAACTTTTATAAACACAGTGTTAAACATTTTACCCTGCAGAATACCGGATGGTAAAGAGTGTTTGGTTTCAAGAAAAAAATAAAAAAAATAGTTTAACCAGCTTTACTATTTATTTTGAAAAACAATAGAAAGGAAACCATAAGGATAGGTATGGGATTGAACTGAAATAATTGCAGGGAAACTTAAATAGTAAAGTCCACAAACTGTACATCGTTAGAGAGAGAGAGAGAGATTTGATAAGGAATCTGAAAAGTAAACAAATAATAATTTCAGGAGTTTGTCATATTGAACCCCCCCCCCCCCCCCCCGTTGCTTCCTTATCTTTCATCTGTACCAAAATAGAATTCCTGTAATAGTTTGTTTCTAAAATAAAAATTATTATAAAAATCTTTTATCTATCGAGTGTAGTTTCGTGGTTATTCTTATCAGATAGAATAATATCGTTGCCATATGTAATAGTTCCTCCTTCGCGTCACGCAATAGCGTAAAAAAAACAGTTCCCGTATCTCAAGACAAGACGTATA